TCAAGTCTGCAAGTATAAGATATGATAGGTCCCTCTTATATAATGGATAGTTTCTTGTTTCGGAATCCAAATGTAGACAGAATTAGTTTGAAGAGTTGCTTTTCTGAGGTTCTTTATGATACAATAAAGTGGAAGAAAAGAGATGCTGGGCTGGGTTTGTGGCTCAGTGGTAGGCCGCTTGCCTGGATGTGGGCACTGGGTTTGATCCTCAGCACCGCATATAAACAAATAAATCAAATAAAGGTTCATCAACAACTAAAAAAATATTAAAAACAACAAAACAAAACAAAGAGATGCTTTGGTGAAAGGAACCAAGTTTTCAGATTCCCTCAGAGCCTGGGTTCTGAGGAAACACACCCTCACACTGGGGGAGATTTTGAAAATTTCAGAGAAAAGAGGAAGTTTTGGTGATGAAGCCCCTCAAAGGGAGGCAGGTTCTCAGTCTTCATTTGGGGGTTGGAGTACCGCAGAGGGGCGGGGTGAGGAAGTTCAAAGTACATGGATCAAAAGATATTCTTGGAAGGAGCACAGAGGGAAGGATCAGTCTAGTTGGAGCTAAGTGTAGCTTTAGGCCAGGGAGGCAGGGGAGGTGGCACATGGATCAGCAGAACAGTGAGCTGAGGGGCAGCTGCAGGTCACAGGAGATTGCTAACTGTGAGTTTGCTGGGGCAAGTGGCTCACCAAAAGATACTCTAGGAGTTGGTTGAAAATTGGTCTACAGGGCTGAGGATGTGGCTCAAGGGGTAGCATGCTCTCCTGCATGCGTGCGGCCCGGGTGCGATCCTCAGCACCACATACCAACAAAGATGTTGTGTCCGCCGAGAACTAAGAAAAAATAAATAAATATTTAAAAAAAAAGAAAGAAAATTGGTCTACATAGGAAGGAAATAAGGGGTATGTATGAATCAGAGTTCTCTAGAGAGACAGAATCAATAGGTAATAGACTGAATGTCACAACCCATTTTATCACTTGTTATTGGCCTTGAATGCTGCAGATGACTGTCTCTGATAAACAGAGGTGGAGTTTCCTACATTGCTCTGGCTACAAGGAAGTTGGAAATTAGGGAGGATTAATTACAAAAGGGGAAATGAATTCTGCTGTCATTAAGGTGGGGAGTTTTCCAGCCAATTGTAAGGGGCATCAAATCAGATTAAGATTTATATTGGATCTGGGCGTAGTGGTGCTCACCTGTCTTCCAAGGGAGTTGGGAGGCTGAGGCAGGAGGATCAAAAGTTTGAGGTTGGCCTCAGCAAATTAACAAGGCTCTCAGCAGCTTAGTAAGACCCTCTCTTAAAATGAAAAAAAAAGGGCTGGGGATGTGGCTCAAGCGGTAGCACGCTCGCCTGGCGTGCGTGCGGCCCGGGTTCGATCCTCAGCACCACATACCAACAAAGATGTTGGTCCGCCGAGAACTAAAAACAATAAATGTTAAAAATTCTCTCTCTCTCCCTCTCTCTTTTAAAAAAAAAAAAAAAAAAAAAAAAAAAAAAAAAAAGACTGGGGGTGTTGTTCAGTAGTTAAACGCCCCTGGTTTTAATCTCTCACACCAAAAAAAAAAAAAAAAGAAAAGAAAAAGATTCATATTGGGTTGTAACCAGGAGTCTAATGACAGTGTAACCAGTCAGAGGAAACTGCAGTCATTTTGGAGGAAACAAAGTGGGCAGCATTGAGAAAGGAGGTGCCAAAGCAAGAGTACATGGCAGAACAGAGAGAGAAAACAATGACTCATTAGATGCAAAGGAAAGGAGAGTATCCAAAATGCTTCCTGAGTCCCTTTTGGTTTCAGGAATTAGATAAATGGCAATGCCACTAACCCTGTTAGGTAATCTGGGAAAGGTGAGTTTTGGGAACATGATGGGGCCGGTCATTTTTGGACGCGCTCTGTTGGAAGTGTCTGAGAGACTCTGGCTGTTGATAGGCCACACATGCATTTGGATGCCAATTTCCTACACATGGTAACTCACAGGGGTAGCCTAACAGGCTCTCCAAGAAAAGGGCGGGTCTGGTTTGCAGCCTTTTCTTTTTTTTTTTTAAAGAGAGAGAGAGAGAGAGAGAGAGAGAGAGAGGGAGAGAGAGAGAGGGAGAGAGAGGGAGAATTTTAATATTTATTTTTTAGTTATTGGCGGACACAACATCTTTGTTTTGAATGTGGTGCCGAGGATCGAACCCGGGCCGCACGCATGCCAGGCGAGCGCGCAACCACTTGAGCCACATCCCTAGCCCCCTTTTGTTTTCTTTTTAATTTTTTTTGGTGGTACTGTGGATTGAACACAGGGTACATTACCACTGAGCTACATCCTGACCCTTTTTGTTTTTTATTTCGAGACGGAGTCTCACTAAGTTGCCCAGCTGACCTCGAACTTGTGATCTTCCCACCTCAGCCTCTTGAGTTGCTGGGATCACAGGCAGGGGCCACTGTGTTCGGCTAGTGTTTTCTGACTTCCATGGTGTAAATGCACTCACTCTGGCCAATCTCAAGCTATCAACATAAGGATACTAACAGGGGATTTCCTAAGATCAGCTCTTAGGAGCCCATCTGAAGGTCCAGGATGCCCTGTGACTATGGGGGAGAATGGGATCTCCCAGGTGGAGTATAACCTCTGACCAGAGAGCAGTATCTTCAGGAGATGGGAGAAGAGTTCCACAGGGACAACTGTCAGAAGGAAAACCAAGAAGACAGGGCTTCATGATCAAGCTCAGTTGGGGTCGCATCAACCTCTGTAGAATTAACTTCCATTTTCCATTCATTTATCATCTTAGCAGTCCCTGCTGCTAGACTTGGCCTACTCAAGAGCAGACACTTTGTCTAACTCAGCTCTCTGTTTCTGTGGCATAGCACACAGTAGGTGCTCAGTAAATAACTCCAGTAATGATGTTTAGATCAAGATTCAAAGAACTTAACAAACTAAATTTAAGTTACAAAGTCTGCAGCTGGCAAGAGGAAATTTCATAGAGATAAACGACATGGAGATTTATTTGGCTGCAACTAAATCCTATCATAATGATCAGTGCGGTGTAGTTCACAGGTCAGCAGAAGGAGCATCCTCTGAGTAGAGAACAGGAATGTAGAATGTACCTTCTCAGGTCTCAGGTCTATCCCAGATCAACTCAGAATGTGCCTCTTTTTTTTTTTTTTTTTGGTACCAGGGATTTAACTCAGAGGCGCTTAACACTGAGACACATCCCTGGCCCACTTGATATTTTATTTTGAGACAGGGTTTTACTAAATTGCTTAGGCCCTTGCTTAAATTGCTGAGGCTGCTTTGAATTTAGGATCCTCCTGTCTTGGCCACCAGAGCTACTAGGATTACAGGTGTGTGCCACTGCACCAGTTGGAATATACCTCTTAAAAATTCCTAACTTGACATTCTTGCTCACTGAAAGTTTGAGAGTGGTCTCTAGATCCCCTGTGGAAGGGCAGCATTTGGTCTGAAGAGGTAGTAACCTCCACCCTCCTCCACCACACAGCATCTTCAGAGGGCACTGGCCAACTGGAGGACATTTAAGGAAGGACAACAAAAATGATAAAAGGTCAGAAATCACAGCATGTGAGGACTTGTTGAAGGACTCAGATGCTTCAGCTTGGAGAAGACTGGGAGTCGGGAAAGTGACATGTTAACTGTCCTCAAATATTTGAAGGGCTTGCCCAGGGAAGGAAGATTTATGTTCACAAGTTTCAGGAGGCAACATAAGAATAACTGAATATATAAGAGCAGACATTTTGGCTCAATGCAAGAAATTTTCTTACCAGGGTTTAATAGATGCTTCTTGTTTTGTCTGCCCCACGCCATTCTGGTTCTTCTGAGAACTGTTACCTTCTGTTCCAACTATGAGGCAGTCCCTATACTTCTGTATGAACCTACCAATTAGATCAGGAATGGGCACCTGTCCCACAGGGATTTTTGGAATCAGAACTCGCAGTTAGCTTCTCTCCTGTGGGAGGTGACAGAGGAAGTGGCAGCATCTAGAGATTTCCTGTCGTGTATGAAGCTCATCTCTGCCGGAGCAGAAGTGAGAATCCCAGCCATGTGGATTCCCTGATTCCCTTCTTAGATTCAGCTGTATCTCAGGTCCTTTCTTCTACTGCATTACATAACCCACCTGCCCTCTAAGAAATCTCCCTTTTGCCTAAGCAGAAGCTGGACTTCTGTAATCTGCAACCAAGAATCCTGATGAACACCCAAGCAGAACTCTCCAGATGTCACCCATTGTGAAAAGTAAAGCATTTGTTAAGAAAGTATTTATGTAGTTTGAATGCCCACTGGAAAGGGCTTAAAGGAAGGGATTTCTGTAGAGGGTGGTGGCCCTAAAAATGATAGCCACAGTGGCAGGTGTTTCCAATGTCACCAGGAGCAATGTGGCAGCTAAGTGGGAAAGACAGGTTTGATTCACATTAGACACTGAAATTCTTATTATTTTTTGGTACTGGGCATTTAAACCAGGGGCACTTTAACACCCCCCCCCCTTTTTTGAGACAGGGTTTCACTAAGTTGCTGAGGCTAGCCTTGAATTTGCAATACTCCTGTCTCAGCCTCCTAAATCACTGGGATTAGAACTGTGTGTGCTATGGCACCTGGCTGAAGTTCTTAAATATTAAGCTAGAGGTTCTTATAATTTCTAGTCTCAGAACCCCTTTTATGATCCTAAAAATTGAAAACTCCAGAGTTTTGTCTGTTTTTTGATGCTAGGAATGGAACCCAGGACCTCACACATGCTAGGCAAGCACTTTACCACTGAAATATTCCCCAGCACCCACTAAGTGGTGTTTTTTTTTGTGTGTGGTACTGCAGATCAAATTCAGATTGAACTCAACCACTGAGCTACATCCCCAGCCCTCTTTTGGCTCTTATTTTGAGACAGGGTTCTCACCAAGTTGCTCAGGCTGGTCTCGAAGATTTGTGATCCTCCTACCTAAGCCTCTTGTATTACTGAGTGTGCTAACACACCTGGCAAAATGGAGGAATTTAAAAAATAATTTAAAAAGTACAGAAACATCACATATTAACATAAATATTTTTATTAAAACCATTTTTAAAACAAAACAAAAAAAGAGTAGTGAGTAGCACTGTTTCACATTTTTACCAATCTCATTTATATCTGACTTAATAGAAGACAATTGGATACTCAAGTTGGCTTGGTCATTCAATACATTGCTTTGGTTGAAGAAAATAAAGAAAAAGTAGTTTCAGCTGAACTTGCAGGTGGAGAGAGAACCTCATAAACCCCTGAAAGGGATTCAGAAACCGCCGATAACCCTCAGGCCATACAAAAACCACTGCAACAAACTCCACTGCTTCTCACTTGAAGTCTATATAGCCATTTACTTAGTATTAGAACAGGCAAATCCTTCCATAACCAAGACATTTGAATAAATTGCAAAGGGGTGGTGATGAAGGAAACCTGAACTCTGGTTAATTCAATATAAAATGACATCAGTTTTTCTCTTTTATAGTGCCTGGGATGGAACCCAGGGCCCTCTCCATATCACTGAGCTACATACCTAGCCTCAGAATGTTTTAAAGATAAGTTCTTGTTCTGTTGCCTACGGTGGGCTTGAACACTTGGGCTCAAGTAATCCTCCTGTCTCTGCTTCCCAAGTAGCTGGCATTATAGGTGCATGCCACTATATCTGACTGAACAAACATTTTTAGCTGAAGAATGGATTAGGGCCTTACATATGCTAGGCAAGCACCTTACTACTGAGCCTCAATTCAAGTCTGACAAGTTTTTAACTTGAGTTCAAAATTTCTATCAGTAAAGTTTATACATTACAAACTTTTAAAGCTTACTTTTCCGAGCTAAGAGAAAGTAACATCACATACAATCAGAGTTAACATTTGTACAGTAGTTTTACATCATACAAGGCCTCTTACTATGCCCACATGATGTCATTTAGTCTTTAGAAGCCCACATTAGAGGAAAACTCAGAGCAGAATCACTCGCCCGAGATTGCCAACAGGAACAGGCTATGGAGCCAGACCCAGTAGAGTTCGATGACTGCAAGTCCCATGTTCTTCCCTTATTCAGCTGCCACTGCTGTCACACAGGAGGAACACAGAGCTGACCAGTCTTCGGGTGACAGTGATCCACACTGCCCCTTGCTAGGCCAGATTCCTTGTGATCAAGTGATGCACTCTAGGGCGTCTCTGCTCTAGCACTATGAACAAATACTCCACAGTAAAATGCTTTCCAGTTTGGGTAGAGGGGAACTTTCGCTTATGTCCATTTTTTTCACACACACAAGAGACAGCATCCATTCTAGAATTCAACTGGACTTTATTTGACATACAATACAATATGGTTGCAGGAAGCAAACTGAAAAGACAAAGGAGAAAAGACACAGTTCTATCTATTTTATAATTAAGTAACAGGAGGGCAAGTCACTAAATGAACAACAAAAACAGTTAAGCTTGATGGAAGAATTCTTTTTCTAGTGTCCATACCTGAAAGACAAAGTAAATCACTTCTTAATCTCATGGTAATTTCCTAAGACTATAAAACCTCTTTAAACATATGAGTGAAAGCCTCACAGAACTTTGGAAAGAAGTATCCACAACTGTGCTCCAAGACCAGGCAATGAAGCTGACCTCTGCCCATCCTTCATAGCTTCTCCCCTACAACCCTCCTGGTGACAGCGTTCCTAAGGTACCACAGCTGCCCATTATCAGCAGATGCTGGGCAGTATTAGGGAGGTGAGAAGGAAAAGCTGCTGCTGGTGGCTGTGAAAGGGAACTCCATCTGTTCACCCTCATCAGTGGCTCAGAAAAGGTTTGAGAGCTGCCCATCTCCCCTGGCCATGGCAGCCTATTTTCACCTCAATTCTAGTGTTCAGGAAATTTGGTAAAGCAAATAATGAGGATAGCAACTGAACAGACTTCAATTTCAAAATCTATCATCAGCTCTAATTATAGCTCTGATTCCACTTAGCACTACACAAAGAGAACTGTGGAGAAACAAGGCATGAATTTCAGGGGGGTTCAAATTTCCCCAGAAGCCCAAATTTGACCCTAACAAGATTATAAAATAAACAAGGCCAGGAAATTTTTTTCTACATATAGATTTCTGAAACACAAGATCCTTCATTATTATCTTTCTCAATCTTTTTTTTTTTTTTTTTTTAATGGTACTGGGGAGCTGGGGCTGTAGCTCAGTGGTAGAATGCTTGCCTAGCACGGGTGAGGCACTGGGTTCGATCCTCAGCACCACATAAAAAGTAAATAAGTAAAATAAAGTTATACTTCTAGATTGTTTCTACAGCCCATCAACATTCACTGAAACCTGAGAGGAATTTGATAAACTGCCTTTTTTTTTTTAAAGATGATATTCAAGTGGACTGCTTATGAGAAGAACTTAAAAAGAAATCTGAGGGGCTGGGGATGTGGCTCAAGCGGTAGCGCGCTCGCCTGGCATGCGTGCGGCCCGGGTTCGATCCTCAGCACCACATACCAACAAAGATATTGTGTCGGCTGAAAACTGAAAAAGAAATATTAAAATTTCTCTCTCTCTCTCTTCTGAAAAAAAAAAAAAAGAAAGAAAAAAAATCTGACAGTCCTGGATGATGGAAGCTGAGATCCTGAGTTCTAGTACCCTTGTTCTATCCATATGACAAATAATTTTAACCAGAGACAAACTGCCTCAAAAGAACCAACACAGCAGGGATCAGTGAAAAAAGGCTCCTGGGTTCATCCCCAGTACCCGCTCCCCACTTCCACCAAAAAGAAAAAGGAAGAATTTGTTCCACTTGAATCTGTTTTCCCAATGAACTGATAACCAACACCTGGGAAAATTACCAGTTAGGTAAAATGGCAGTGTCGAAACCCAGCCCAAGCAATTCATCACATTCCTTAATTCTTCTTCTTCTTCTTTTTTTTTTAAAAATAACTTTATTTTTTTAACGTGGTGCTGAGGATCAAACCCAGTGCCTCATGTGATGGGAAGTGCTCTACCCTGAGCTACAACCCCAGCCCACATTCCTTAATTCTTGGCTAGCCCTAGGTTCATATAATGGGTAGCACAAACCCTGTCTAAAATGGAGCCTTGGGTCTGCTCTAAGGCAGAGCCAATTACAAAGTCCCTTGAAAACTTAGAAAAGTTCTTCCACCTGGTCATGTATTACTGTCACAGACATTTTTATGTCTTACACTACTTGTATTTACGTTACTTTGCATATAGTCTGAGGTAGACAGTGAATATTTGGTAAGTTTCTCAAGAAACGATCAAGCATTTGATACCTCTCATGTTCTTTACCAAAATAAATTATTGAGGGCTGGGGCTGAAGCTCAGTGGCAGAATGCTTGCCTAGCATGTGTGAGGCACTGGGTTCGATTCTTAGCACCATAAAAAAATATGTAAATAAAATAAAGGCATGCTGTCCATCTATAACTATAACTATATATATTTAATTATTGAATCTGGGGCTGGGGTTGTGGCTCAGTGGTAGTGTATGTCATCTGGCATGTGTGAGACACTGGGTTTGATCCTCAGCACCACATAAAAATAAATAAATAAATAAATAATAAAAACTATTGAATCTAAAAGCAAAACAACTATACTAATAAACAATTCCCAAATATTTTATGAACTAAATAACCCAATATTTTTGTTTTTAAAATTGAATAACACTTTATTTATTTATTTTTAATTTTTAGGTGGACACAATATCTTTATTTTTTTATTTTTATGTGGTGCTGAGAATCGAACCCAGTGCCTCACGCATGCTAGGTGAGCGCGCTACCACTTCAGCCACATCTCCAGCCCCTGTTTAATATCTTATTTATGACTCATTTTTAGCAACGAGGCACAACAGTACATGTCTGTAATCCCATTTACTTGGGAAGCTAAGGCAGAAGGATGGTAAGAATGAGGCCAGACTGAGCAACTTACACCCTGTCTCAAAATAAAATAAAAAGGGCTGGGAATGTAGCTCAATAGTAAAGCATCCCTGGGTTCAATTTCCAGTGCCATAAAGAACTTTTTTTTTTTCCCCCCTTAGTCCTGGGGAGTGAACTCAGGGGCACTCAACCACTGAGCCATATCCCTAGCCCTGTTTTGTATTTTTATTTAGAGATAGGGTTTCAATGAGTTCTTAGTGCCTCGCAGTTGCTGAGGCTGGGTTTGAACTCTCCATCCTCCTGTCTCTGCCTCCCAAGCCTGGGATTATAGGCGTGTGCCACCATGCCTGGCCAAAGAACTCTTATTTACATGAAATTCCCGTTTCCATAAATAAATGACAATGAAAATGACCAATAATTCGACAGATAAACAACGGGCAAGATACATAAATACATACACATACACCCTCTCCCAGGCAGTTCAAAAAATTGTTTGAAACACTAAAAAAAAAAAAAAAAAATTAATTTGTTATTTTTTTGTAGTTGGCCACAATACCTTTATTTACTTATTTATTTTTATATGGTGCTGAGGATTGAACCCAGGGCCTCGCATGTGCTAGGCGAGCACTCTACCGCTGAGCCACAATCCCAGCCTCCATGCTGAAAATTTTCAAAAATATAAGTTAAATCCTAATTTTCACCTGTCAGAGTGGCTAAGATGGAAAAGTTTGATAATAGAGCATTGGCAGGAAACCAAGAATGTGACATTCTGCTTCAGTGTCAGGAGGGAGTGTAAATGAGTACCTATTCTTGGGAAAGGAAAAACTGACACTATTTATCAAAAGTAAAAATTTACATATTCCTCACCCAGAAATTTCTCTTTAGGAATTACTGCTACATATATACCTGGACATGCCAAAGGAGATTCATGTATAATGATGTTCATCCCTACACATTGCTTTTAACAGTGAAAACTGGAAACCCAAATGTCAATCAGCAGTGACTGATTTTAAAAAATGATGGCACATCTACATAAAGAAAGAAGGCAGTTTGTTATAAATATCTTCAAAATATAAAAAATGAAAAAAATAGTGAATCACTGAATAGGAGGGTTAAATTTATGTTAAGAAAAAGAAATACCTATATATGCAACTACATGTACGGAGATAGAAAAAGCTATTAAGCAGCTGTTTTGTTTTTTTTTAAAAGAGAGAGAGAGAGAGAGAGAGAGAGAGAGAGAGAGAGAGAGAGAAAATTTTAATATTTATTTATTTTTTTTTAGTTTTCGGCAGACACAACATTTTTGTTTGTATGTGGTGCTGAGGATTGAACCTGGGCCGCACGCATGCCAGGCGAGCGCGCTACCGCTTGAGCCACATCTCTGGCCCCTAAGCAGCTGTTGATGGTGGTTACTCATAAGGTATGTGGTGGGAGATTCATTTTTGTTGACTATCCTTTCAATCACTTGAATTATTAAAAGTTTACCATGCCATGCTTTATTTATATAATACAAATTTAATCAAAGGGCTGGGCATAGTGTTGCATGCCTATAATGCCAGCTACTCAGGAGGCTGAAGCAGTTCAATCTGGGCAACTGAGCAAGACCCTGTCTTGCATTTGTCTAGCTTTTTTGAGGTCCTAGGTTAAATCCCAAAATATTAAAAAAGCACCTCTAAATATTAAAAAAAAAAAAAAAGCAAGATAGCCACAAAAGCTTTATTAGAATTAATCATATAAGCTAAACCAACAGGAATGTGATTTTAGAAATTCTGCTGGGTACAGTGACTTGGGAGGCTGAGGCAGGAGGACTTTATAAGTTGCTAGGGATGGCTTTTGAACCTAAAGTAAGCAATCTAGTAAGACCCTGTCTCAAAAAATAAAAAAGGGCTGGCAATGTTGCTCAGTGGTAAAGTGCCCCTGTATTCAATCCCTGGTACCAATAAACAAACAAACAAACAAATAAAAGCTTGCATATTCCCATATTACCTACTTTATTATTATTATTATTTTATTATTTTTTGAGACAGACAGGGTCTCACTAGATTACTCAGGCTGTCCTCAAACTTGCAGTCTTCCTCCCTGCCTCGACCTCCTGAGTTACTGTCATAGACATTAGAAGGTGGAGAAACCCCAGGTTGCAAACTTTTAATGTTGGCTAATCCTCTGTGCATTTTCCACATAGGCAAGTTCTTGCTTAGTTAACTAAAAGTTAGTTTAAAAAACAAGCCATGTTCCATGTCTCTACCGTCTTCCAGCCTGAGGTGAGACAGAAAATAGGCCTAACTATAAAGCCCAGGTTTATAACGATGCTAACGGCCAGAGATACCTACTTTTGGAATTCCCACTCTCTGTTGTCCAATGGGCACACCTGCCGTGTTTTGAGCCAGCGAGAGATGCAGTGGAAGTGAAAAGCATGCTGAAAGAAAAAATGTATTTTATTAAAAATAACTCTGTGCAAGCTTCACCATCTACTGACAACACCTCTCACTAGACAGTGCAGCAATACATACCATGGATTGGAGAACAAGAGCAGAAAACGATGGGCAAAAGTTCCAGAAAGGATCATATCCTTGTGCAAGGATATTTCCAACAAAAACATTTGTTAGAAATGCCATTATTACTGAAAAAATTATTTAGGGAGCACAGATTATATTCTAGCAGTGAGCTCTCTCCCCTTTAAGGAACATGGAACGTATTAGGGGATGCTTCTACTTTCCTTGAGAAATGACCTGAGCACACACAGATTTCCAACTTCCCCAATCTTGGTCACCAGTCACCAGTCTCCTCTCACCCTTGAAGAATGAGGATGAGGGAGTAAAGCCTACTCCTCTCCATCTATAGGGAGTGCACTGCCACTGCTACCCACCCAGGACTAAAACAGGCACCTCCCCAAACCCAACTCAACTCTAATCAAAGGAACTTTAATACTGATATTACAAGAGCTCGGCACTCAATAAGGCTTTAATGAGGATTTTGTTGTAAAAAGGAAAATTGCGGTTTAAAAAAAGTACTCTGAAGGACAAACTGTATACAAGCAGCTCAAAGGGCAAACAGGCTATTTTCATGACTAAGACAGGAAATAAAAAGGCAAGTGTCCTAAGAACACTGGTAATGGATAGGAGCTAGGAATTGGCTTCGATTTGGGAAAAGGAGAATCTGTGTGTAGCCTTTTGGTGTGAGTTGATGACATGCAGATGCTAGTTAAAACTGCAATGGACACTTTTCTTCCTCCTGCCTCACTCATATGAGAACATCAAGAGGAGCAGCAAGGGTTCCTCCTCATTTAATCTGTAATTGCTGGGCTGCAGTGGGGCACAGGAGAGGAATACAGAGACACCCCAACAAAACCACCAAAGCTTTTGTAGACTTGGTTTAATAACTGAATCTGATGTCTCCCAGAATAGTCATGGAACCTAAGAAACTTACTATGTAGATTATTGTCTTGTGAACTATCTTTTGGCAACAAAACTCTAATTCAGTAATTAAGAATGGGCTCCATAGCTAGCACACTGTGGATTCTCGTTGTTCTATTTTTACAGAATGACAGCCTTCTGGAAGATCCCACTCCTGCAGACTCTCATACAACTCAATGTGAAAAAGGAAACAGGCAGATTCTCCAAGAGGCAGAAAGTGGAGACATTTTTCTCAACCCCAGGTGCTGGGAAAAGGCTCATGCAAGCACATGCAAGATACCCACCTCCATCTCCCACTTTCCCTAAGCACTCTGCCAAAGCACAGGATCCTTTACCCAAGCCCATGAGATGACATCAAGTGCTCAAGGGCAAGTAGGGGCTGCAAATGAGACTTCAGGGCAGGTGACAACATCCCTGAGCATTTTTTGATCCCAACTTTCTTCCCGTTAGTAATCTAAAACGTACTAATGGGTGTATTTAGCAGACAAGGTACAATCCACAGAGGATTCTTGACAGTACTCCACAGTTTACAGATATTAACATATATTACCTCATTTGAGCCTCACAGCAACTCTGGCAAGCAGGCATGACAGATATTATTATCTTAACTTTACAGACAGGAAACTGAAACCCAGTCAAGTTAAGTGACTTGCCTAATTCATGGAGCTGGTCTGTAGAAGACTCAGAATCAGCACTCAAGACTGGCTTCTAGCACCCTATGCTAGTTCTCCTTTATGGCAGGATCTCTAAGAGACCCTTTCCTTAACAAAACTTGAGGAGAAATCCACCCCTTTTCATTCCACACAAAGGAACATGATTCTTAATACATGCCTGAATGTTACAGAGAGCAAAGAGCCCAATATATTTTCTTTACCTCCACAAATGATGAAAATCATCCTTTGGCCAATACTAACCACTGTGAAACTGGCCAAAGGGTTCTGACATAGATTGAAGAAAGTGCACCACAGGCATGGGTAGAGAAGGCATTTCAAACCCACACAAAAGCACTAGGAGCTACCACGTGACCACTAAACTCCAAATTTCTATTCATTTAGATTTTTTAACACATGTTTATGCTGACTATGTGCCCAAAGTTCTAAATACTTTTTAACATTAAACCACTTAATCCTGATTACAGTTCTATGTTGCCTGCTATCCGCCCCATTTTACATGAGGGAACCAGGAGTAGAGATGTTAAATACCTTGGCTTCAAGTCACTTAGTAAATAAGACAAAGACAGGGATTGGTAGTCTGACTCCACAATCTGTGACTCCTTGTGTCATGCTGGAGTTGTGGGTCCTTTGTCCCCTTGGCATAGGAGGCTTGGACAGGACAGTTTCAACTACTGTGATTAGGACTGTATGGTTCTAAGGATGAATTTTTAACATTTGCTAGAAATAACACATTTGATGTTTGTTACCTTCACAGCTGTCACACCCTGAAGGCCACACACTTAGTTCAGCCATGCTACACAAAACATTTCTGGCATGAGCCATATTTTTCTTTTCTTTTTCTGTTTTAAAATTCCTTTCTATTTTCTTTTTGGGCACTAGGGATTGAACCCAGGGGTGCTTAACCACTGAATCACATTCTCAGTCCTTTTTATAAAAATTTTTATTTTGAGCAGGGTCTTGATAAATTGCTGAGGCTAGCCTCAAACTCATGATTCTCCTCCCTTAGCCTCCCAAGTCACTGAAATTACAGGTGTGTGCCACCACATCTAGTTCTTTTATTTCTTCTTGATGAGCCATATTAAAAAAAAAAAAAAAACCTGAGTACAGTTACATTTAAAACACACACACACACACACACACACACACACACACACACACACTTAAAAACTCAATTTATCCACTGATCTTAGTTCCACAGACACTTGACCTTAAAAAAAGGGTCTGTTCAGAAGGTAAACAGACCATTCCCAAGACCAGGCAATAGACAAACCCTCACAATACTGCAAACAAAACTAGGTGTACTTCATAATTAAGACAAACTAGTATTTCTTTGCAATAACTAATTATGTTTATCCTGTTACAGGTGAACAGTATGAGGATTTAAAATCTTTTGTACTATTTGTATACCTTTTGGGAGAAAGGTTGGCTAGTCATTTTTTTCCTAGTTATTTTCAAGACTGGCAAAGCAGGAAAAGTGGCAATATGTTTACAAGCCATGCTGATAGGTAAAGACGTTTCCTTACGTTACAGACTCCCCATGCAACGGTACACTCTTCGGAAGTAGCAGATGCCTGGTTAGCTTGACACTCTATGCCTGTGGGAACAAAAGCAATAGCATCACTGGACCTTAGAGCAGCAACCTTTCAGCCTGGAGCAGCCAAGCAATCCTCAAGTGGTTAATTAGCCATAATTTTTTTTTTTTTTTAATAAATGTGAAAAAGGACGAAGAACATGGAAGACAGAAATGAGTTTAGCAGCAAGATTTCTTAATTCTTGCTTAAAAAATGTGTTAACAAATAGGAAAAATGTGTTTAAAATCTGAGCATAACCTGAATTGCTAAAATGTGAATGATTCCTCCTAATTTGGTAAATTTAGTTAAGTCACCTCATGACTCTTGTTATTCTCAGGGCTGGTGTCTTTTCCCTATTCCTGCAAAATGCTTCCCCTTGGGTCCTTACAGCACCTATGCCTTACAGCCCAAAGTCCTAGATGGGTAACACTCTAATCCCTAAAGGGATCAGGAAGGAACCTGTGAACTGGGCAGAAGCAAAGTAAAAGGTGGAGGGGTGAAGAGGTCTTTGTACACTTTTGTGTACAAGGATCAACTCAAAATTATTCAAAACATTATCAAGCAAACTTGTTAAGCTGATAGTTAGATTTGAGGCCCACCACTGTGTGATGCTAGCTGCCTGTGAGGCAATTTTGTCTAGGAAGTCACAAAAGTAACTGCAAATGTATGCAAATATTGATTTTATAAAGAAGGAAAAGAAGAGAATTTAAAGAGGATAAAAATCTGAGATTGAGAACTGATGAGTAAAGCTCTACTGGGGATAAATATTCAAAGAATAAGGTTTGTTAATATAGAATTAGCTTTTTCTGAAGATGATAACCAAAAGGAGTTTCCCTTCTGAAGAATAAAAAGCTTTAGGGAAGACTATAACTATTTAATAGGGTATAATTACTTCAAAGTGTCATAGAGAAAATGGCAAAACTGTAAAAAAAATATTGAAATGTTAATGGGTATCCTAGGGGAAGAGATATCATGTAATAAAGGCTCCCCCCCACCATTCTTCAAAATTACAAAAAGCAAAGGATCTGAAATCACAGAACTTGCTTTTGCCACTCAGATTCACACTACAGAATAACTTGGTTTGTCATCTTTTCAGAGACTCTAGGGTCTGTGAAGTAAATTCAAGAATTTATTGGGGAAGGAGGGGAAGTAGGGAGGAAGCACTGAGGAGTGATACTGACCAAATGATATCGTTATATTGTGTGCATTTATTTCTATGTAATAACAAATCCCTATAATACAAAAAAAAAAAAGAAGGCTGGGGTTGTGGCTCAGTGGTAGAGCGCTTGCCTAGCATGCACAATGCACTGGGTTCGATCCTTAGCACCACATATATGTAAAATAAAGATATTGTGTCCACCTAAAACTTAAGAATAAATATTAAAAAGAAAAGAAAAAAAAACTTATTGGGGCATGCTTGCTTCAGCAGCACATATATTAAAGTTGGAATGATATGGAGAATAACAGCATAGCCTCTATGCAAGAATGACAGTGAATTCGTGAAGCATTCCATATTTTTAAATTCACAAACGCAAAAATAATTTATTGGAGCTGTGAATACACTATGATATTAAAAGGAGAGAGAATAAAATCTGATGTCAATTTGGATCCTATAACATGAGGACTACATATTGTGAAACTAGCAAAGTAAAATTCACAGTTAAAGTAAAAACCAAAACGGTATCAAGGTACAATCATGTACATAAGTTTTAAGACTATCTGGCTGTGGCCATGACACCAGTCACCTCAGGAATTCCTCAAGCCCCCTACGTGATACAGCCTGTTCCCTCCTCTGCCTCCTCTGTCGCTCTCTATCCTTCAGGATCCAGTTTAAATCCCTACTTCTTGACTGAAGCTTCTTATAACCCCCCACACTGAGTCATTTTCTTTTCCTTCAAATGCTCTAAATACTTACTTTTTATAACATTTATCAAAAGGCATTTTGAGTTAGGCACACTGTGCCTGCCCATAATTCCAACAACTTAAGAGGCTAAGGTAGGTGGATCACAAGTTTTACGCCAGCCTGTGGCAACTTAGCAAGACTCTTGTCTTAAAATAAAATAGGAAAAAAAAAAAAAAAAAGGGCAGGGGATGTAGTTCAGAGGTAGAACCCTCTGGAGATCAATCCCTGGCACCACCAGAAACAAAAAATTGCTTTCAGATTTTTGGTGCGAGAGAGAGAAGACCAGGGTTGAGTCAAGTTAGTTTATAAACAGGGGCAGGAACTGTTCACTGTCAACACAGAGAGACAAACAACTGCATACAGCTCTGACAAGGCAGAACTTATTTTATGTGATTTATAAAGCCTGGGAACTTTTAAACTCTGATACAAGAATGGTACCACCAAAGAACTGCTAAGGAAGCAATGAGCTTCTTTTCAAGAGTGGACAGATTTCACACCTCCAATGATAGATTCAGTTTTACAAAGATGGCTCGGTCTTATAGGTAAAGGTTGGGTTCAAGATGAAGGTACCCTCTTAACTTGGAATAAGATTCACTGTACATCCTACTGACATGTATAACTAAAAGGAACAAATGAAAATATTTACAAAAAGAAAGATTCACAGATAATGGAGAAAATAACAACTTGCAGAGTATGTATTTCAGCAACTATTTAAAACAACCAAGATATGGGACAATGTAAAATAAATTCAAAGCTATAGGAATGCTTGTAGTAGCAATACAGACTCAATAAGTCTTCAGACCAAGAATGTTTTGTAGGAGAGGCTGACTGGGGTACAGCCACAATATTTATTTATTTATTTACAGTTATGTATATAATTATTCTTTTAATGCCAGAGCAGATTTATTGGAAAATGGCCATTGCTAAATTAAAAGTTTTGTTTTCCAGGCTGGGAATATAGCTCTATGATAGAATGTGAGGTCCTGGGTTCAGTCCCCAAACTTGTTTTCATCTTTAACAAAAAGTCTTTTTTATAAAAATCATAAATCCAATAATTATTTAAAGTTGTAGCACCAGAATTCCCTTCAGTGTTAGTTAAAGGGGTACATTTCTTAAGAGTAAAGACTTGATCTCAGTTATTATTTTGACCTAGTGCCTCGCAAAATGCCAGGATATATTCATTCAAATGAAAAAGGACATGATTTAAAGTGAAAATACATTCATTATATTTTGTTATGAAGAGTTCAATATTCTACTTCACTGGGCATTTAAAATATGAGACAAAACAGGTACCTGAGAGTTCTCAATGATACACAAGCATTCAAGTTTTAAGAAAAGATAACATTTAGATGGTATTTGTCTTTCATGGTCTTCCCAAGAAGTGTATTCTCTTGCATCTAGAGAGGCACACAATGACTTAAATGTTAAGGTTGGGGGTAAAAATCTATATAAAATCATTAACTATTTTCAGATGAGAATCCCAAGAAAGTAAAATTTCTCTGGGTGCAACTTGAAAATGCAAGGCATAGAAACTGGCAAGTCCATAATCAAAAACCCCACCCAAACACATTTAAAACTGTGTTTTTTTCTGTGATGGGTTCCTTCCATCTACATTAAACACAATGGTTGTGGCTGATTTGCTTTGACAGCAGTGTGAAAAGGAAAACGGGGTCAAAACTCAAAGCAGCCAAGGGGCTGGGGACGTGGCTCAAGCGGGAGCACGCTTGCCTGGCATGCGTGCGGCCCCGGTTCGATCCTCAGCACCACATACAAATAAAGATGTTGTGTCCGCCGAGAACTAAAAAATAAATAAATAAGAATCTCTCTCTCTCTCTCTTAAAAAAAAATAAAAACTCAAAGCAGCCAAGAGAAGTCAACTACTGGCACATGCCATGATTGCTAATACAAAATATTCAATTCATGCTTGCTTCTAAGCTGCAATGATCAAAACATTCTGCCATTTTGTTTTTGTAATTTACCTAGCAAATATTTAGTGAGAACTTACTAGGTACTGGACACCATGCTAGATATACAATACTACATAACATGGACATGATAGAGAATACCTAATTAAATCATTAATATGAAAGCAAGCTACAGGACATCTTGGGATTGTTTAATTGAACTGCCACAGCCTGTATGCTTTATGTAAGTATGGTTAGGAAAATATCTAAAATATCTTTGAAGTCAGGCACAGTGGCACACGCATGCCTGTAAACCCAGCAACTTCTCTGAAGGAGGCAGAATTACAAATTCAAAGCAAGATCTGGCAATTTAGCAAGACCTTGTCTCAAAATATAAATGACTGGGGACCGGAGATGTAGCTTAGTGGTAGAGTACCACTGGGTTCAATATCCAGTACCCTTACCAAGCAAAATGAAAGTTAGTTCAAGGTAAAATCCAAAAATCAACTTAGTCTTACATGGCCCAATAATGTAAGCATTAGCTACATGTGGCTTTTGAACAACTGAAATGTGGCTAGTCTGAATTGAGATGTGCTGTTAAGTATAAAATACACACTAAATCACTAAGACTTAGTACAAAAAAATGTAAAGAATGCATTAACCAGGGCTGGGGTTGTGGCTTAGCGGTAGAGCGCTCACCTGGGACATGTGAGGCACTGGGTTGATCCTCAGCACCACATAAAAATAAGTAAATCAAATAAAGGTATTGTGTTCACCTACAATCAAAAATATATTGAAAAAAAAAAAGGATGCATTACCCAGTCCTGTATCATATTTTTAAACATTGAATACATGTTGAAAATATTGTTTATCACAGGTTAAATAAGATACAATATTAAAATCAATCTTATCTGTTTGTTATTAATGTGGTTAACAAAAATATTTAAAATTCTGATCGTGCTCATATTTGTGGCTAACACTGGATTCTGTTGTGTCAGACAGTAGCAGGGAGAAGAGGTGCAGAATGTTTCAGGCAGAAGGAATAAGAAATATTAAGGGTCCTAAAAAAAGGCATGGCAGGGCTGGGGTTGTGGCTCAGTAACAGAGCGCTCACCTAGCATGTGAGAGGCTGGGTTTGATCCTCAGCACCACATACAAATAAATAAATAAATAAAATAAAGATTTTTGTTTAAGTTGAGTCCAACTACAACTTAAACAAAAAAAATTAAGGAAAAAAAATGAATGGCAGCCAGGCACAGTGGTGCATGACTGTAATTTCAGCTCAGGAGGCGGAGGCAGGAGGATCCCAAGTTCAAAGCCAGCCTCAGCAATTCAGCAAGATCCTGCTCAAAATAAAAAAAGTAGGCTGGGGAGGTGGCTCACCAGTTAAGCACCTCTGGGTTATCCCCAGTACCAGAAATAGAAAAAAAAAGTGCGGAACTTCAGGAATGGAAAGAGGACCCAAGAAACTACTGGTGAGCAGGAAGTGGGTCGAGATTAAGCTGGAAAAGTATAAGAGTGATTTAAAAAAAAAAAAAAAGTGCCTATAATTCTAATTCTATAAGCTTAAAGTTTCTTTGCCCTATTTCTGATCTCAATAAGAAACCATTTTAGTACCCAGAAGAAAAAGTAACATCAATTGTTTCTCATATGACCAGTATTATTCTTCCTTCTTTTTTTTTTTTTTGGTACTAGGGATTGAACCCAGAAACACCTAACCACTGAACCACATCCCCAGCCCTTTTTAAATATTTTATTTAGAGACAGGGTCTCACTGAGTTTCTTAGGGCTTCATTAAGTTGCTGAGGTTGGCTTTGAACTCAAAATCTTTCTTCCTTAGCCTCCCGAGTTACTGGGATTACAGGCATGCAACACCATGCCCAGCATTCTTGCCCCATCACTACAGTCTATCAACAACTATAATCAGATCTAAGTGTTGACTTATTTGTAAAACAAAATATGTGGAGATTTAAATGAAATTTCTTTACCTCAATTAATTATCTAGTTAGATGTTGGCAATAATGAAATTTTTACTATATTTGGATATAACACCAAAAATCCTTACTCTTTGGACTTCTTTTTTGGTGGTACTGGGGACTGACCCCAGGATCTCCTACACTCTAGGCAAGTGTTCTACCTCTAAGCTATACCCTAGTCCTTTTTATTTTTTTGGGACAGAGTCTCACTAAGTTGAGTCTGGCCTCACTGCAGTCCTCCTGCCTCAGCTTCCTGAGTCACTGGGATCACAGGCATGCACCAACATCCCTAGCTAGACCTTTCTTCATTACAATTGTCACTGAGTATGTGAGGTGAATTGGTTGCAGGACTGCCCTGCCCCAACCAATCCTATAGATATCAAAATATGAGGATGTGCAAGTCCCTTATATAAAATGTTGTAGTATTTGCATCCAATCTCTGCAATCCTCCCACAAACTTTTAAGTACTCTAGATTACTTATAATACCTAACAGAATTAAATACTATGTAAATGGTTGTTATAATGTATTGCTTAGGGAATAATAACAAGGAAGAGATTTGTATATGTTTGTAAGAAATGCAGTTTCTGGACTGGGGATGTGGCTCGGTAGTAGAGCAATTGCCTCACAGGTGAGGCACTGGGTTTGAGCCTCATACTCCTGGGCTCAAGTCATCCATCCGCCTTGGCAGATTGAGTAGTTAGGACTACAAGTGCATGCTGATACACCCAGTCAGATGCAATATTTAAAATAACACACTTGCAATCTGTGGTTGTTTGAACCTGTAAACACAGAACCTGAAGAAGGGCCAACTATAAATAGAGTCCAACAAAAACTAGCTCAGAATATTTTAGCTTAAATTTTATTTTCTTCCATTCACATTTGAGTATAAGATGGGAAATATATAGGAAGAAACACAGTGCCTCTGTGTCCACAATTCATTCTAAATGTGTCCTTGGCATCTTCAGATTCAGTAACTTATTCTGAGAGCTGGGTATGCTTCTAGGATGTCATGAAAAACTACTTTATTTTGATCACACCAACAGACTAGATGCAGAAACCCCAAGTGCTTTATGGTTTATATCTCCTTGTGAAAAAGAAAATTGGTCACATCAGGATAGCCACAATCTCTGTAACCATCTCAACTTCCTCCCATTCTTCTCCAATTACTTACAAAGATCCATAATGTGGTTCCTGCAGATGGCACAGTTATCAACCACAATATCCCAGGCCCAGAGGGCTACTGCATTCCACTGCAAAGAGAAAAAGGGGGAACAATGCACTCTCCTTGTAATGTAACACACATGCTCCTTAGGATTTCATGCTGCAGCTGAAATCATAGGAACAGGGACCACAAAACAAAGGCATTTTTGGATATTACTCTTCTGTTATAAATATCAGAGGACAACAGTAGGCTACCTATATGCTTTCCCATTCTTTAATAGATTGAGCATATGAACATAGAAATTAAAGAGTATTGTTTTAATTTTCCCTACAGTTTAAAATAATTTGGCTGCATCAATGTAAGCAAATTAAGTTTAATGAGAACAAACTTAAATTACTGTACAGGCTTCCCTGGCAATTACAGAAGCTCAAAATCTGCACAAACACTGACAGTTCAAGGCAGCTTTGGAAGTATGAGCAGGGAGTGAAAGCTCAGAACACAGTGAACTAAGATGATGATTGGATCATAAGTGGGTAATCATGGGATAAGCTGGATAACCAGTTACCCAGTGTCAGTACACAGAACAAGGTCATCACTTAAATCTTAGGAGATTACTTATTAACAATTGGTAGAATTTACTAGATTTTGTTTAGTTCTTATCAAATAAACGATGTCCTTAGCTTTTGGAAGTTCAGCCTTTTTAGTTAATTCCAGTAAGAGTTTATAAAAAATGTATTTAAATAGTACAACTCTCTCACCTCTACGATTATATACACTCCCAAACTCCCCTTTCTCTACTAATTTGGTGCCACTTCCCAAACCTCCATCTCTTTCAAACCCAATTCTCATGGTCTAGAAACTTCTTCAGCATTTTTCACACCATAGCTTCAAGTCAAAAGAAAAACCCTACTTCTATTATTCTTCAATATGGCTGCTGGCTGCAGTGACCACAGTGAGATGCCAAAAAGAAAAAGACAAAAAAAATTAAAAAGCCCAAATGCCGGGGGGTGGGGGGTGAGGTGGGGTGGAGAGGAGATATTGTCTTGTGCTTAGCTAGATGCTACACGAATATATCTTCCCTCCTTCAGGATCTTCATTTTGACAGTTTTATTGACTTCACCTTAGGCGGGAATCGACACTTTTCTCCCAAACTGTTGGCAATATACTAAAAGGGATCTCATGCAAAAAGACACATTCCACATTTTTCCTTTCCCACTCTTACCAGGTTACTTGAGACTAGTACTCAACCCTCCTTAAATGCCACAAGAAACGGACTCGCATTTTCCATTGACCAATTACCACCACGATTTAAATTTTTTTTGTTGTTGCTGTCAGAAGGGGATCTGGCTGAACATGCCTGAGAACCACAGGACTGGGGCGACTCTATAACACCCGGCAGACGTCTCAGAAAAGCCAAGCTTTACAGTCGAGAATTTAAGTCGGTGGGGCAAGGGCCGGAGAGGGAGCTAGTGGAGGCCTCCCTTCGGCGAGGACCAAGTCGGGGTTCCTTAGAGTCAGAGGAACCCCAAGCCCCAAGGGGCGGGGCAGGGGGATCACCGGGTGGGCTCCTCCAGTGCGTGGTATCTCAGCTTCCTGGCTTTCGCTGCACTGCCCCATCCTCCACCCGCCGCAGTCGCCCGGGCTCCCCATTCCACCCACCCCACCCTGCCCTTCCCCCACCCTCAGCCTCTTCAGTGACAACTAAGGCGCTTGGCTCCCGCAGCCAGCTCGCAACCCCGCGCATCTCAATAAGCACCTCCGTGATTGGCCCCTCCGCCTCCCAGCGAAACCAACACTGTACAGAACAGTGGGCCGCCGTCCTGCCGATCAACTCTAAGGCCCGCCCCCCGGCTTCCTTTCATGGGACCCGGTCCCAGGAACGCCCTGAAATGAAGCCTTTTCCTTCGCGCCTCGGTTATCCTCGGGCCTGCCAGCCAGATCCGCGCCTCTCTAGCTTCCCTGAGGAAGGCACTGGCGAGACCCAACCTTTTTCACTTCAAAGCGCTTCTTGCCCGCGCCGCTGTTGGTGCCGCTCGGGGTATCCACATCCATCGCTGCCGCCATTTTGGAAACACACGGTCCTTCGCCCGGTCACTGCGCCTGCGCAGCGGCGCACGCCGCGCTCCCCTCCCCCGCTTGGGCACCTCCTCCCTGCCCCTCCCCTCACTGGCGCGCGACGGGGCGGGGCATGTGGTCACGCCCCTTAAAGGCGCTGGCGCGGGATCCCCCCTCTCGTCGGCTGGGGAGGAGGCGGTGGCCTGAGTGGCCGGGGCGGGGCCGGGCGGAGCTGGGAGACGTGAGCTAGCTGGGTGGAAACGTTCGGTCGGACCCGCGCTAATCGTCCTCCCTTGGGAAGCTCGCGGCCGTGCTCTCTCGGCTGGGGCGGCGCCTGTTTCTTCAGCCTCGGCCGGGAGCCGGGACCAGCCGTGCTGCTCGTGAGGCCCGATCGGTGGAAAGGGCAAGATGGGCCCCACTCGCCTTCCGTACGCCCTGGCTCGCTCTCGAGCCTGCTCCGAGGTGCAGTCACCGCGGAGGCCTGAGGCAGGGGCTTGCCAGGGCCCAGGCACCGTCGGGTTTCCTGATTCAGGTTCAGGAAATGATTCGGCGGTGAGGAAGGATACCTCCGAGTGCCCTCCCCAAGGCCGAACTGAGCGGCCCTGCCTTCACCTTCCTACCAGAAGTGGAGGAGGCTTAGCAGCCTGGGAGATGCCAGCTCCCGCCAGCCCATAGTATCAGTTGGTCCCAAATGGCCTTTGGTAAGGTACCCAAGTTCAATTAATGTATTTGAGTACACATCCCTATTCTTTCATTGGTCATGTGTAGAGCGTCCTTCCTCCCTAATTTTTGTCCTGTTTCCACTTCTTGCACTATAGTCAAAGTGGGCCATCTTTAGTTGACGAACTTGAATTTTGTTGAGGCTGACACGTATTCTTACTGTGTGTTCCCAACTGGCCAAAGCACCTGTGTACTTTATATCAACTTTCCTATGTCTAGACCAAGCCTCCCTTTTACATCTCTAACCTTGCAGAGGATGACGCCACTATTTCATTCTTAAGTTTCATATAATTCTACTTGAAATTAGACTCATCTCTTCAATTTTTATATAACGCTCAGAATGGAACCCAGTGGCTCACGTGTGCTAGGCAAGCGCTCTACTGCTGAGCCACAACCCCAGCCCCTTACATATTCTCTTAAAAGACAATTGGAGAGTAATGGAGTGTTCTTAGTCATAAACAAGAACACCATCACAACTTTGGAAAGAAAAATTCTGTGAGTCAGGCGCGGTGGTGAGCGTCTGTAATCCGGTATGACTCAGGAGGCTGAGGCAGGAGGATATCAAGTTCAAAGCCAGGCTCAGCAATTTAGGGACTACCTCAGCTAGTTAGCAAGACCCTGTTTCAAAATAAAAAAGGGGAGGCGGCACAGTGTTGCACGCCTATAATCCCAGCGGCTGGGAAGGCTGAGGCAGGAGGATTGCAAGTTAAAAGCCAGCCTCAGCAAAAGTGAAATGCTAAAGCAACTCATTGAGATGCTGCCTCTAAATAAAATGCAAAATAGGGCTGGGGATGTGGCTGAGTGGCTGAGTGCCCCCTGAGTTCAATCCCCAGTACTCAAATAAATAAATAAAAAGGGGCTGGGGGGCTGGGGGTGTGGCTCAATGGTAGAACACTTGCCTAGCATGTGTGAGGCACTGGGTTCCATTCTCAGCACCACATATATGAATAAAATAAAGGTCCATGAACATCTAAAGATTTTTTTTAAAAAGGGGGGCTGGGGATGTGACTCAGTGGGTAAGTGCCCCTGAGTGCAATCTTTGGTATCAAAAATAAGTAAATAAGTAATAAATAAAATAAATGTGAGAACTCAAAATTTATAGGAACCCTACAAAATTTTCTTAACCCAAATTTTAATAATTCCATATTAAGGCTGCGAATATAGCTCAATTGGTAGAGTGCTTGTCTTGCATGCACAAAGTCCTGGGTTCAGTCTCTAGCAGCGCACACACAGCACCCCCCCCACACACAGCACCCCCCCACACACACACAGCCCATGTTAAAACTGTCACTAATTTATTGAGTGCCTACAGACCCCTACAGGGGTACTAGAAACCCATAGTAAACTTAAGTGTTGAAGACATACTATCTATCATTCTTGAATTGAGTATGTACCACAACCTATTTTAAAACAGGAAAGCCACAGTGATGAAAAGTCAAACTCCTACTGGAGAAATACTATACAAGCCATCAAATAAATACATCAGGAAGTCTAAAGTATTGATAAATGCTATGAAAAAAATTAAACTAGATTATGAGTTTGGGGAAGGAGGCAGCAACATTGATCTGGATGATTAGGTAAGGTCTCTATGAAGAGTGACATTTAAGCTGAAGTCCTTACAATGGCCTAGCTGACCCTGGGGGATGTACAGACATGTCTTGATTAACATGGATACATTCTGAAAAAGGCATTATTAGGTAATTTTGTTGTTGGGTTAACATAGAGTGTACTTAACACAAACCTAGATCATATATTCTATTACGTAGATGCCTAGGATAGATTGTAGATGCCTAGGATAGATCTTAGATGCCTAGGATAGATTGTATAGCCTGTTGCTCCTAGGTTGCAAACTTGTACATCATGTTACTGTAATGAATACTGTAGGCAACTATAACACAATAGTTTTTGTATATCTAAACAGAAAAGGTACTGTAAAAATGCAACATAAAAGCACTGGGGATCTAGCTCAGAGGTAAAGCACTTGCCTTACACACACAAGGCCCAGGGTTCAATCCCCAGCACCAGGCATAAAAGATGAAACATGGGGGGTGTGGCTCAAGCGGCAGCTCGCTCGCCTGGCATGCGTGCTGCCTGGGTTCGATCCTCAGCACCACATACAAAGATGTGTCCGCGGAAAACTAAAAAAAAATATATATATATATATATATATATATATATATATATATATATAAAATTCTCTCTCTTTTAAAAAAAAGATGAAACATGGCATCTTTATATAGGACACTTACTATAAAAGGAGTTTGTAGGACTGGAAGTTGCTCTAGCTTAATGAGTGAGTGAGTAGTGAACTGAGGATCTTTTAGAGTCATAGTGGTGACTTCCAAAATCTTGTCCAAACCAAAAGGATATTCCTCAAACTGAACTGGTCCTTTCTGACTCCTCTATTTTCTAATCCAGAAAATTTGTCAGGAACAAATCTTTTGGTCTTTATTCTGGCTTCTAGGTTCTCACCCTATATTTTTTACTGGGCCTATAAATACTCTGGGCCATATCTTTACCACTTCTCCTAGCTAGATCATCAACATTGTAAATGGCATCTTCTCCACTTTCAGATCGACTGTCCATACCTTTGGATTGGCTGAAGAGCCTTTGATCAGACTGAGCTTCATTGGAATTCTGATTATTGGGCTCAAGAGCAATAAATTCACTAAATTCTTGATTTTAATTTCTCTGCAGAAATTAATATTGACCTCTTATCAGGAGATGCTATGGAAGGATTTCAGTCATTGCTGTCTCTCTTTTTGCTTGTCATGCCAGATTTCATCCCTCTCACATGCCTCTCCATTCTCTTTCCCCCCACATCTTTTCTTTCTTCAGGCATGGATTGCCAGCTTCACAAGCCTTCTTTCGAAGCAATGTATAGAGATTTAGCCAGTTTAGAAAATTTTTGATTGATGGATACTGTCTGTAATCGTTTTTTTTTTTTCCATCAGCAGCAAGACATTTGTATAACACTTCATTTTCCAGTGGGAAATACAAGAAATCTTTCCTTCTTGCTCCCTTACAATCATCTTTCAGCCAGAATAATTCATGACAGGTGCAGAAAGAGAACTTTCTTGTTAATCATGAAGGCTCCGTTGGATCTTTCTGCATTTTTTACCATCCAAGTAAACCTCCCTTTAGCTCTGGTGTTGAAAGCCACACATGCTGAGATTATGTGCGTCAGATAACCTGAGCAGGAGCCAGTTTATCATATTCAAGAACTGGCTTGATGCAACATTCTACAATATTTTTTTTAAGGTTATTCTTCTCTGTTTTTTTTTTTTTTAAATCGCTGTTTATTCCCAAGGAATCTTTTTTTTTTAAATGGATCCCCTGATTTTATTTATTTATTTATTTTTTTAAAGAGAGAGTGAGAGAGGAGGGAGAGAGAGAATTTTTTTTTTTTAAAGAGAGAGTGAAAGAGGAGAGAGAGAGAGAGAATTTTTTTTTAATATTTATTTTTTAGTTCTCGGCGGACACAACACCTTTGTTGGTATGTGGTGCTGAGGATCGAACCTGGGCCGCACACATGCCAGGAGAGCGCGCTGCCGCTTGAGCCACATCCCCAGACACAGAGAGAGAGAATTTTTAATATTTATTTTTTAGTTCTCGGCGGACACAACATCTTTGTTGGTATGTGGTGCTGAGGATCGAACCTGGGCCGCACACATGCCAGGTGAGCGCGCTGCCGCTTGAGCCACATCCCCAGCCCTCTCTGTTGTCTTTAATAGTTTCTTCATCAGTTCTTTGCAGGTCTAGATCATCTACATTCATAACCTCTTTTGGAGCCAGTTGAATGTTTTGCTATAAATGACTTCCCCCCACCCAATTCTGGGGATTGAACCAGAACTTTGCACATGCTACGCAAGCATTCTACTGTTGAGCTACATCACCAGCCTCTCCTCCTCTTTTTAAGGCAGGGTCTTGATAAATTGTGGAGGCTAACCTCAAAGTTGCCATCCTCTGCCTCAGCCTCCTCTCCTACCGGGCCAAATGACCTTGTCTTTTGACCATTCTAATTGAGCAGTGATATCATATTTAATTTTTCCTTCAGGATCCACTTGAATGGTCAGTGCATTTGATACTTTTTTTTTCCCATTCCATAATCAGTAATCTCTTGAAAAACTCCCTCCATCTCCAAAATCTGCTAACAGTATCTGATCTTTGCTGTACCCATAGTGGGGAGGTTCTCTTCAGGAAAAGACCAATGAGGACTGCCGTGATCTCTGAGATCTTGCTTTTCCTTCAGGCTCAGGTTGGTCCTGAGAAGGCTGAGTAGGTGCAGGTAAAAAGCTGCTGAGTACCATCTTCTTCCACTTTTTCCAGCACCAACCTATGTTTTCAAACTTTTTAAGTAGCTTATTGA